CCTCCTGACAGCGAAAGCAAAAGGAACATAAAAGAATTGCTTGATGCTTCATGAATAGTAGATTCATATTGAGATTCTACACAGGGAAACAGGATTTTTCTTGGATACCATTAAAATAACCTTTAATTTCTTAATAATAGATACTTACGACTAGTATCTATTCTGTGAATAGTAGATTCATCTAGATTCTTATTGAAGTTAAATTGGATTCTTTACAAATATCATCCGATTGAAAGTTGTTTTTTAAGTTATACTTGTATTCACTATTTAAGTAACAGATTTGAATTTGATACATCTTAACTTCCAATTAGATTTCTTGTTAGATTGAATCTTCATTGGATATCTTTTGATTAAAATCTTGATTTCGTACGATTGTAAATTTTTATCTCTTATACGAGCAACAGATTCAAATGGATTCATTTAAATTCCAGATAGATTCTTATTGAGAGGAAGTTGGATAATTTTTAGATGCCATTTGATTAAAATTTATTATTTATTGTCTATATATTCTCCATATGGTAGTAGATTCAAATTTATTTTATTATGGTTCCAGTGAGACTCTTATGAAAAAACAGAACCCTTTTTGAATATCATTAGATTTATTTTATTAGCTTTGTTTTATGTAGATTCATATTGGATTCATATAAAATTACAACTTGATTCTTATTGAGGTGAAATTGGATTCTTATTTGAATACTGTTAGAATTTTTTTTTAACCTAAAATCGGTGAAAATATGACTAGGTAGTAAATTATGTTGATGTCTTATTGGAATCCAATTAGTTACGTATTGAAGGGAAATTACACCTTGCACGTTTGATACAATGTTATCTATCTTTTTTTTATTAAAATTCGTTTTTTTAAGATTGTTTGAGTAATTATCTGTAACTTGCTGAGTGGGAGATTAAAATTGGATTCATATTAGATTCTTATTGACTTCAAATTGGATTCTTATTGGACAAAAATTTTCTTTCTTAATTTATTAGCGATTATATTTTCGTGGAATCTAACTAGATTCTTATTGAAGTGAGATTGTATTCTATTCTAAACAAGATTCATTTTAGCATTTAGATTCTTATTAAAATTTGGACTTTCTTTGAAATCCAAACTGTCCATTATAACAACTAAGTTTGTAGTTTTCTATTGCGATTTATAAAAGTTTTAGAATTTTGTGACAGGCGTCGTGATTTATATACGCACCAGAGAGAGTGAGAGGGTGAAAATATGGTACATTATAATTTTCCCCCCGCTTGCAGCTCGACGAAACCAGATATTCCCATTTCCTCGCACGGACGATGTGAAAACACCCCGCCGCGGAACCCCCGTTCCATTGTCCTCCACTCGAGCGCGAATGTTTAATAGATAAAGACGCTTTTAACCGTAAAACCGGCGAAACCGGCAGCGACTACGTTTTATACTTCCCTCGCATCGCGAGGAGGAACGTACATATCGCACAATATGAACGTATTCCTCCGTAAACGGTGAATGATTGTTATTTTTTGCTTCGCCCGACGCGGCACCTCTTTCCCCTGAATATAAATCTTTCGGATGCTTACCTGGATGCAGAGGACTTTGTATAATAAAATACAATGTCGCAGAGGAGACGTTATAGTTTTACTTTTACGGTGATACCCGCTCTTCGGCGAGGCATGTTGTACTGTTAAGAGCACAGGTTTTATAGCGCTGGTTTTAACCTGAGTGCTCGACGAGGTCTTCTTCGGAACGAAGCACCGGCACAACGAGATAATTTAAATATTATAAATGGATGCACGAACAGGAATATCGAACGAGCCATCAGAAAGACACCTAAGGAGAAAGAAAAAAGTGTATCTGCCATATAAATAAGAATGTACTGACAAAATGGGTCGCATATTAAGGAAACACAATATTGGTACCATCTACAATACCTCAAAGAAAAACAACCTTGTCCAAGATGAGCAGCAGCAGCAATAAACTCCAAGATGCAGGTGTATACAATATTCCGTGTAGGTATATCCGCAAAAGTATAAATTGGTCAACCGGGAAGACACGTAGTATTTAGGTAAATGAGCTCAAGTGTTACTTGAAGAATCAGCAATTACGGACACCTGATAGATCTTACTAACATTAGAATTCTACCGAGCGATCCAGAATGATTGAAGCTGAAGTCACACGTAAATGTTACCAAAGATATTAAAATTTACTTCCATTTGATCAAAATTACCGTCCGTTTTCTTAGATTTCCGACCGACACGATCTGTAGCAAGTATGAATACCAACCAGAGGACTTAATCTCAATTTCACAGGTCTTCGGAAGAAGAGAGCGACATGTCTCGACATGTCTCTCGAAACGTGAATGAACCATCAACCTCAAGAGTCACTGTATCCTCTCTGTGTTCGTTTTCCATTCCGTCGAATTTTGTGACTCAACAGTAAAGACCAGCCCTGACATAACTAATCCGTCTGGGTGCAACGAGAAACTCTCGGTATGCAACAAAGTAATCACCCGCTTCTTGTTTTCCTCGTGTAGGGATCCGGCCGAGCGCCGAACAATTACAAGTATAAGCGTGTTCGACTAATCCCATCAGCCCTCGCCGCTCCGTAATCCTGGATAAATACGAATCCAAAACGAACATCCATCATTAGCCGGGACGGGCTCTATTAGCAGCCGGCCGGACCGCTAAAACAACTAGAATCCCGGGCCTGCGGCTCCCGGCCCTCCCCTAATACTGATTGTTTCGACCACTTAGTGGATTACGCGCCGCGGTGCCGCTCTGCGAGCCGCTCTCCAGACTTGTCTTCCTTAATTAAAACTTACATGAAACATTCGCACCCACTCCGAGCGCCAGAAACCGCCCGGATAGGGTCCCGGCGAGATGCTGCGGCGAACACGTTAACGAGGTTACCGTGGCATCTCCCGGATAATTGGGTTTGCTTTGCTTTTGTTGCGGAGTATACGGGGGCGGTCTGCACCGACAAGGGGCTAGAGTTTGTATTTGAATATAAGAGAAGATCGAGAAGGACAGAGTTGAATAAGGATGTGTGCCTTACAGGGTAGAAAAAAATTTAAATTTAAATTATGAGTACTCAAAAATTGTCTAGGAAACATTTTATTTATTGTAGCTTTCAGAATTATATTTTTATTTTGAATTGTAGTAATGAATTCTAATTCATAATATCGTTGGGCGCCAAACTTTGTGCATAGGGAAAAAAACTATAAAAAAAATTGTATTGTATTCTTCTTCGAATAGCTCATAGACTGATGTTATCGCATAAAGGTGTATACCTTACATTATAGACAAAAGTGTCTGAATCTTGTATCCGCAATTAGGTTATTGTGTAGGAAACAGTTTATTTATGGTAGCGTTCAGAATTGCGTTTTAATTCTGAATTCTGATTTTAACTATCTAATATAATATTCCTAATTTTGACTGGACACACGTTGGGCGCCAAACTGTATGTGTAGAAAAATAGTTCTATAAATTAACAATTATATAAAAAAATATTTCGTATTTATGTTCGAATAGATTGTAGACTGCTGTTCTCTCAGTAGCAAGTTTTGTTCCCACAAACAACTAATACTTTAGCTTTATCCGTACTTCCACTATCGAAATTTAGTGTTATTTATTTTTATATTTGTGAATCAAAAATATTTTCAAAAACAATATGACCTTCGCAAAATTCGCTCTCTGGTTTCTTTGAGCCACTCGATATCTGGATTCTCCTTCTACTTGTTTGTGACGCTTTGTAGACATTTTTCCTAGGAATTTACTGGCTGCCACTTTTACTTGTTTGATGTGTTGTTTTCTGTTTTTCATTTTGTTTTTAACTTTTGCCTCACCTTCCTTTTGATTTCTTGAATGAAGTCTAGCTAATTCTGAATTCTTATATAGATTTCTACAAAACAAACGAATGTCCAAGGCTTTTCTAGGATGCCATATGTATGGAATTTTTTTATGGAAATTTCTGTTTATATTGAAATTGTGTTTAAATGTAAAAATAGTTCATTATTCTACATTTCTTAAGCTTTCTTTCTATACCAGTCTTATTATGTTCCGACTAATTTTGAAAATGTGAAAATGTTATTGGTAAAAGATTGTAGTAACAGCTATAATGGGTGTGGTAAAAAGCATTTTACCCTTTATATTGGGCACATAATCGTCTTGGTCCGAACAAAAACATATTTACTGTAAATATAAAATCAATTACTATGCCCATTAGCGGGGGAATATTATTCAAACAACTGAAACTCTTTTTTATGGATCGTATCTTTTTTCTCCACAAAAAATTGCATTACATTTGTACATACTATTCCTTTTTCTTGCTTTTATTGTACAAACACTCTAATATATTTTTTTATTCTGCAGTCATTGTAGCAATAATTTAATATTTGTTGAAAACGTTTTTTTATATTTTACTGCAACTAATAAATCTCCATCTTTACCCTCTAAAAAGTACCATGATAATTGTTCAAGTACAGAAACGTTACGCTACATTCTGTTGGCATTATTCTGCAAAATTGTATGAAATTTACTGGCATGCCTATTTTGTTTAAATTGTAACAATCTCGTGTACCATTATTGCATGAATGTGTATTTTTTTCTCTGTTCGCCAGTTCAAAACGTACAATTTATGTTTGTATAAAAAAACACTTATGCGCTTGTATCATTCCTAATGTTCCATATAACGATTTACTGTCAAATTAACGTTATATGTTTTATTATATTAATAGATTTATATGTTGCACAACCAGGCGAGCATCCAGTTATATAATAAAAGCCCATAAAATAAATAACAATCGGCAGTTTGTTCATACAGCGTGAAATGATCAATTAATTAATTTTCCATTATTGATAACTGGCCGTTCTGCCGCCACTTTTATTGTTATTGTGCCGTTTTATTGATATTTATCGCTCTGTTGCCCCTCTGTCAGATAATGCTATAATCATATTCCCAAATTAATTCGCCCCAAAGCACCGGCGCGACATTACGACTGAAAATATGATTTGTTTTTTCTTTTCAGAGAAACTCGATATCTCCCGCGGAACGAGAAAAGTACAGGCCTAGGACACCGCAGGAACCCGAACTGAAGAAGCCCAAAAAGGAAGAAAAGGACCTTGGTCACGTAAGTATTAAAGTACGTAGTATTTTTAACATATCTACTAATAATCCTCGAACACCAATCCAGTTCTAAAATTATTTTACCACAACCAGACGTTTTTACCGACCTTTCGAATGCTTTCATAAAAAGCTGCGACTACAACTAAACCATTTGTTATATCTATTCAGCTGACCATAACCGACATGTTGGCATAAACTCGTCTTACAGCTCATGATGAATTATCCAGATAATCGTTATCGTAACTCATCGATCTTTTCATACGCCGTCATCAGAAGAAATTTATTATAGTTTTTCAAACTGCCTTCCGTAAGTGTATGCGTGTAACTTAGATTAACTAACTGCAGTTATACAGGAATCGCTCCAGGCTAAACATCTGTCTTTGCTCCGCGCGATCTACCAGTTAATTATATTTTGATAAATAATAGATTGGCTCGTATTACACGTACAAGAAGTTAGAAGATAGAAATCGTAATGTTTCAAAAATAGCGTATATGCAAAATTAACTAATCAGAAGAAATTAGTAACTTATGCCTAGCCAGATACCAATATTAGTTACTATTTAATGAATCATGTAAAAATTATTAATTTTTAAAAATACTGTAACATTTCTTTAAAGTTCACCCCTTCATTCGTATTCTTGACTCTAAACATGTCGCAAATTCGTAGAAAAGCAATCTGTCTTTACAAAATTATTTTCCACTGTAGTTTCATTCTCTGGCACTCCGAAAGTTTCATACAGTTGCGCTTTAAAAAAGTAACATAGGCAACACTAAGCGCGCTAGTACAACTGAGTTCAGGAGCTGCCCGGTAACGGCGTAGGCAAGAGTTTAAATGCAGTTTGGAAAACGAATTACTTATTTGATTTAAATAAAATTAATTTCAGATTAATATTCTGAGGTACACGTGCTACTAGCCCTAAAGAACTGCCCCCCACTTAAAGTTGCACCCTGTATATACTGAAAATATAAATTGTCAAAAAATAATTAAAAACCGAAAGTCATTATTAAGTTCAGAAGTTGATATTTTAAATTTTGTTCACGGGTGGCAAAATAAATAAAAAAAAATAAAATTGTAGCTCGAAAATGATTCGTTTTTCAAAAAAACTGGAGGCGATCCTTTTTCCTCAAAACATTACAAATCAACTAACATTTGAATTTTCAAATTACTCTGTGTCATCCAAATTTTGAGGTTATTAATGTTTACTTTTGCATCAAATCTCCTGGTAGGCACCTTTCTTGAAAAGCAATGAGTTGGAGAACCTTCTTCGTAATTAAGATGGTGCAGTTGTTGGGGTCAACGGGTTGCACTACGTTGCACTCTTTCCAATAATGAACAATCTCTCACTAGCCAAAGAGCTGCAGATTCTAACAATAGCCGGACATAATTTACATAGAGTCTGAAGGCTAATCTTGGATCTGGTTTCATAAAAGTCATTTTAAGCAAATACAACATAAAATTGGCTTTATTTACAATATCAGATAAATGAGAGGACCAGCATAAGTCTCTTGTAACTGTCGCACCCAAGTCTATCTGAGAAATCGCTGTTGTTATTCGAGTGTCAATTAAAAAATATTGGATGTACTGATTATTTTTCCCCATGTGGAGCACGAAACACTTGGCACTGTTTAATGAAATACGCCAATCCTAAACCGTTGAGAAATAAGTCTAAGGTCATGTTCTAAGGATGTAGTCAGTAAGAAAGTTTTCAAAAGGTTTCGTGTCATCAGCATACACACGTACGTGGGATCGAACGCATTTTAACAAGTCACTGATGTAGATTAAAAACAAAATCGGGCCCGGCACGGATCCTTGCGGAACTCCGCTTGAGATAATATCAGGTTAAGAAAGGGTGGCCAGAATCAAGATGTAGGTAAAGCCCAGGAATTTACTGACGTTAGGGGGTTGGAAATTACCGATCTTCCAGGTGATAATCGTTATATGATAAATCTGGATAGCAAAGGGAATCGGCATCATGTTTTACAATTTTTGTATCCTTAACAGATAAGGAGCACCGCGTTCCGAGTTTTTTCCGTTGCCTTTTTTGGGTCCGTGCGGCCGGACTAAATGCAGCCGCGGCCGCCTGGATTTATAACGTTCGCGTGATATCAAGATATCAGGGAAAGGCCGCAAACGACCCATTATATGGTAAATAGACCGTTGTTGTCGCGGAGCCGAGTAGCCTACGCGGTCCTGGGGCGGGAGGCCCGGTCGGAGGCCTCGCCGGACAAGTCTTTATCTCACGATCGCAAATCAGTTGCATGTTCCAGCCATGTCTTGTCCGTGTACATGTGCGTCCAGATATATTACATCGGTGTATACCAGTATCTCATTTTTACTTCTGTCCGGATCCGCATGACTGGAAACAGAAGTGATAAATTTAATGTGGAAACGTGTATTGCGAAAAATGAACGCCCTGTGTTTGTTTTTCTTTGTTTGTTCGTTCTCCAACTGCCGTACATTCTTTATAAATATTTCTTAAGGAGTTTATATAGCTTTCCATGATTAAATTTTCGTAAGTTGGTGTTTAAACAAAGTCCGTATTAGTAGCGTTTCTACATTAACTTTTTAGAAGTTATTTTTTAGATTAAACATAGTGTTGCAAAATACAATAAAGTTTTTGCAAATGAAAATCGAATTAAGACTTACAATCTTCAGGGAATTTTGTTTACTCGCGTTTACTAATTGTCATATTTTTCTCAAATGATTTGCCCTCTCCATTTCAGTCACCGGAGGCTCAATATTATCTGACTGGTCCATTAAAACAGCATGATGCGACGTACAACTAGAACTTGGAGTTGAAGTGTCATTGTAAAGAATCCTGTTGGCTATTTCATTTTTGTTACTTAAACTGTCACCAACATAACTTTCTGCAATTGTAGTTGATTTCCACCCATCATGTCTCTAGATTGCTAATGCAGCAACTCCTGTATTAGCCAGTAACGTTGCCGATGTTCTTCGGAATGAATGGCCTGTATATGTTTCAGGATGTTCTAGTTTCAAAAACTGTGCAATCTTATTAGAAATCGTAGAAAGGGTATTCTTGCCGACTGGTTGGTTGTAACATCTACCTACTTGATAGCGCATAAAAAAGTGTGAAATTTCAGTTTTAATTTCCAGTCTAATCTTGATATATTTTTGAAGTATAATTTACCAGTCTCGAACTCTATTGCCAACTCTCGCTCCGCTCAGGCGCAAAATCATCCTCGACTGGTAAATAATACTTAACTCCTTTATGGTGTAAACAACTATTTAATGCAAACACACCATTTACAAATTCTTGACGATCTCTACGTCTGACATCTTTCAAAGTAGCGCCATCTATGGATTCGTGTATTACTCTCAATGGTTCAGGTTCTTAACTCTCTCAGATACTTCCAATCCACCCCCAGACATGTTGCAACTCAATTTGCAAGGAATCTAACATCGTATAATAAAAATTGTAACAAATGTGCGCCCTATGAGCGCCGACAAGTTTTTCCGCATTTTCAATTTCTGGTTTAAGAAACGCCTCTTCCCCGATATCCATCTACCCGCCCTTCCCCCCTAATTTCCACAACAAGACCATCCTCGCTTGGAAACAAAGGGCCCCGTTTAAAAACTGGGTCACGTGGATGCGGTGCTCCCCGGGGTGCCCGCCGAGGGTAAAACGCCGTCTCCCGAGACGTTTTACATTATAATAAAACATTTCCGGCGATGCATTTACGGCCCCGGTCGGCGTTTACGGCGCGCTTACGGTTCCGGACTCGAGCGGCCCGACGTTCCAATGAAAAATATCGCAGCCTCGTCTCGAATCCGACAGACTCTAAATAAAACGGTCGCAGTTAAAGCGGGCACTAAAATAAATCCGCACGATTGCCGCGGTACTCGTTGTAGTATCGTTTATGGGGGGTGTCGTCGCGGATCCAGTTTTATCGCCTCTAAAATGCGTGTTTATTCGGAATTAAGAGGACAAAGTTTTTTACTGCGTCGGCGAGGAGTAGATCGAATCTGCCAATTCGATTTTACAGGAAACGAAACACTAAAGGAAATCCGCATTCTCGCAAAGTTGGTTGCCTACTCCCTCCTGCAAGTATCAACTATTCCAAAATAATTTTTCTATAATCGCTTCAAAAATGACTGTTCATTTATTTATAAATTTTATTGCAATGTTGCTTTAAAAAAATATAATATCCAAATTGTCATATTATTAATTAACATTTTATTTAATCAATTTTCAAAAAAACCATAAATTACTCCTTTTTCCTGGTTTTTGAAATTCGTGTAAAAGATGGAAAAAAAATTCCGAAAAGTTGCGGCAGCATGTTATAGAAAATTTATTCCAGTTTTCGAAACTGCCCTTCAATTCTCTGTACGACCATTTGTCGCCGAGATATCGATGATTGAAGACGAAAGGATCCTTTTCCATTAAAAGTCCGATATTTCGATGAAAAATGTCGTATCTAAATTTATATGAATAGACATTAAACAAGCTATCTGGTTTATGCAATGGCTTAGCTGAACAAAAATTTTGCCAAGTCCGTGGACTCGGAAAAAAAAATTGCAAAATTTTTTTGTCGCCCTATTTCTTAGAATTGCATTATAACCGTCACTCGCCGACCGGAAGATCTAAAAACTAGAATCTTAGAGCTTCAAAATACTTTTTTTGAATTCCCGATACGACCATTTTTCACCTAAATATAGCCTGTCAAAAATCACGTAAAAATTTAGGAAATTCTTTTGACCCTTTAATTTTTTGCATTAGTTTATTGTTGTTGAAGAACTTGACCAAAGCAGTTGATTTCGTCTCTAATTAAATACCTTTATACAAATTTGAATACTACAGAATCAGATTAAGGGAACTTGATTTATTTGCATCGTACCTTGTCAATAGAAAGCAGCACAGATGCGGAGGAAAATATTCCACTGTAACATCTGTAATTAATTGTGTACCACAAGGATCAATATTGGGACCCATACTCATCCTTATAGATACAAATGATCATCGTCAAGCAATTGACGACCACTGTATTCCGGTGATTTAGGATTGTCTGTTGCAAGTTAAAGATTGGTTTTCTGCTAATAAGGTTAAAGTAAATGAAACGAAAACACAGACCATTAATTTTAGTTCAGACAGATGGACTGCAGAGTTTTCACCTGTTTATTTACTTGGTTTGTGCAGGGTTGGTACTTACCTACATCGAAAGTCGCATACTTACATCGAAAGTCGCATATTGATTTTGTCCTAAGTTAGCATCGCAAATATTTGTACTGCGTGAACTTAAAAATTGTTTGCACCATATTACACTTAGATCTGTCTATTATTCCACTATTACTAGTGGTTTAATCTACGGTGTGTTATTCTGCGGTAGATATTAGACACCTTAGAGAGCACACAAACGACAACAAATACTAACAAAAAAACTATTTCGGCATCAGCTATTTAGTTATTATTTATAAATTCAGGTGTGCCTTACTTTTTTACAGAATTTAAACAAGGTGTAACTTTCAACGGAGGCAATATTTATTATAGAGGTTACCTTTCATTTTTAGAGACATAAATTTGGTGTAATTCTTATATGTAAAACGTGCAAAATATTAAATATAAAACATTTTTAAACTTTTAATCAATCAAAATAAATAAATCGCGAAATCATAAACATGGATCACCCTGTACATAGAGCTGTTTTATGGCTAGATTGAAAGAGGAGATAATAACTACGATTTTGATTTTTTTCTCTTGGAGTATTCCTCAATCCAACCTATAACGCCTCTAGAAAGGCCGTTTAATTTCTAAATTAGTTTCGCGGCGTGAGCGCCCCGTGCAAAAAACCGGAACGCGTAAATCTTCCCGACTTTTACGCCTTCTTTTTGCCCAGCTAGCCGCAGTTGTGATTTTTACGTTTATTTTTATAACCATATCCGTCGGGCGATCATCCCAAATATGAGATTGAAGTAATTTTCGTTTTAAGAGTCGGCAAATAAACAAGAATTCATTAAGTTTATGGGGGTGCCTGGGGTCCCAAATGTCGGCCGTATTGCAAGACGTCTGCCGTATAGTATCTCAGTTTTATGAAGGGCGAAACGATTCCACTACTTGAAATCCACTTTTGTTTACAGTGGGTTGCGATATTTTAATTTATAACGTATTTTTATTGCAAATATTTGAACTGCGGTAAGCAAATATTTAAACAAATTTGTTTTGCTCCTCAAATTTCGTGTTTGCACGACCGTTCAAATATTTATTCGGCAGTTGGTTCAAAAATGTTTCGTTTAGATGATTAAAAATAAATCAGTCTCGCTATAGTGTTTAAAAATTGTACCTATTTCTAGAGAGATATGTGACAAAATGACACCTATAATACCTAACGGTAGAAGCAATTAATTATTGTTGTCCAGAAATTTGTGGGGATGTTTTAAAAATATACAGGATGATTCAATACCTATCAAAAAAAAAAAAAAAATTGGATGTTTGGACTTTTACAAATACAATTTTCTAAAGAAAAAATGGAATATCCATCAACTCCGAATTGCTGTAAAGGCAAGCCATTTTTGACACTAACTACTAGAAAACTATTGTAAACACTATGGCAACAACGATTGTAAAATCGGATTTCAGTATTCGGAGTCGCTGAGGCCACGTGATTCTCCACGCGTAATGCGAATGACGCTAGAGACTACAGTTGTCCAGCTATGTAATGGTTGAAAGTACTACAACTTCAATAATTTTTTTCTCGGAAACTATAAGGATTTTACATTTCTTTTTACGATATTGACCCCATTTCTCATGCCGTATCTATTCCCAAATTTTGATATGACCTAAAGTATATAATTTTTGGAAACTTGAAGACTGTAACTCTACGTCCCTTAGGAAAAAAATGTATAGAGCAAACTCTACTAACTTTTTAGCAACTAATCTATTCCTGCAGTTTCTGTATATAAAGTGAAATCACCCTGTATAATTAACTTACTAACACCATACTACATTGCATTCCATGGATGTTTCTCCAGTGCTACCGTAATAAAATATTACAGAGGTCGATTTAACAATCAACTCAAATTTCAGCATAGCGACGGCGAAAAGAGTGACCAAGACTTAGTCGTCGACGATGCCTCCGAGGACCCCGTCTCTCCTCCAAACGGCACCACATCCCCGAGAGAAAACGGAATTGACAAGCTGCCTAAGAAGGAGCACCCTGGTCCCCACAGTCCTCGATCGGGCACGTCAAGCAACGCATCGACGCCGTCCACGAAAAAATTGGACGGAGAAAAACCGACGACGCCGATTTCCAAATCGGTGACGCCCACATCGGCCGCTGGATCGTCTTCTGGAAGCGGCGGGTTGAAACCCGTGGTGAAACCGCCGGCGTTGGGGCAGTACCCGTCTTATCTGGCTATGTCGAATGGTAAGTGGTACCTCAAGGTCACAAACGCGCCTTTTTTCAACCTAGCTTTTTATTAGGTGCTGCACCACACGATCTGCAAGCGGCTGCGGCGGCTGGTAACTACGGAGGCCTACACAACAACCTACCACCAACTCTTAACAGTTATCCACGACCTCCCTTGCAAGTTGGATATGATCCGCATAATCAGATGAGGGCGCCAGTGGTTCCTGGATTGGGTGGAATACCAGGAGGCAAACCGTAAGTAGTTACATACTAAAAAAGGAATATATTTGATAGAATTTGGACAACTATCAGAGAACCACTTGTTTTTACCTTTAACAAATGGATTCAAGTAAGTTATTGACAATCAGCTTTCACAGATTCCCTAATGCTTTCAATCTTCAAACATGGGGACACTACAATACTGACTAATAACAAATTTCTCAAAGATGTTCGAGAAATTACTGAAATCGAGACTAGTTGTATTTCTTGATAAAAATGAGCTACTATATCTGAAACAGTTTGGTTTTATGTAAATACATCAACTGCAGATGCTATTGTAACTTATATAGACCTGTCAAAAGCATTTTATACTGTTAGCCATCCCCTACCGTTACTATTTAATCATCGGTGTTCACAGTTCGATGTTTAGAGAATAATCTTCGGTGCTAGTTTAGTAATGTTGCCACTGCACATCTAAAAATGGCAGACAAAATGAATTTGGTCAAGCTGTTCGGGAACCAGGCCTACAACTTATTTCAGTCTAATTCAAAACCAAAAAAGAATGAAAAGAAAAAATGGAGAATATGGTATACCACGAGGCACCATGTTAGGTCCTATTTTATTTACAATATAAATTAATGAATCGTTTTCATTGCTGACAAACAGAAATAGATGAGTCATGGATCAAACTAAAACAGACAATACAAATTGATTTATGAAAAGTTGGTTTGACAATAAATTCTTAATTGTTAATAATTTTACAATATTTCCAAGTCTAAATTCGTAGATATTGAAATTCAAGGAACTATTTATATATAGATTGATGTAACTCGATTCTAGACGTTCTGATAATTATAAGTAAATTGAGTTTCTCCTTCAAAAAAAAACAATGAAGAAAAATATCCTTTTTTATTATGTATCTGCAAAACTTGTAATTTAGATATATTATTTCTGTTACTGTAGGGCTTATTCTTTCCACGTAAGCGCGGATGGACAAATGCAACCGGTGCCCTTTCCGCCGGATGCCCTTGTAGGGCCTGGAATTCCACGTCATGCAAGGCAAATCAACACATTGAGTCACGGTGAAGTGGTGTGCGCTGTTACCATTTCCAACCCTACGAAATACGTCTACACTGGAGGAAAAGGTTGCGTGAAGGTCTGGGACATCAGCCAACCCGGTTCGAAGAGTCCCGTGTCACAACTGGATTGCTTGGTAATTATTACAATATTTCTTTTTGCCTTTTGGTGTTGTGTTAGCAAAATATTAATCTGAATGATTTCCTAGCAACGGGACAACTACATCAGATCCGTGAAACTTTTACCGGATGGAAGAACGCTGATTGTAGGCGGAGAAGCGAGCAACCTCTCCATTTGGGACCTGGCAAGTCCCACACCTCGAATCAAAGCTGAACTTACCTCCAGCGCACCGGCGTGTTACGCTCTAGCTATAAGTCCCGACTCCAAGGTCTGCTTCAGCTGCTGTTCCGACGGGAACATAGCGGTGTGGGACCTCCACAACCAGACCTTGGTCCGGCAGTTCCAGGGCCACACAGACGGTGCCTCTTGTATAGACATTTCCTCCGAAGGCACCAAACTGTGGACCGGAGGTCTGGACAACACCGTCCGAAGTTGGGATCTGAGAGAGGGAAGGCAATTGCAACAGCACGACTTCAGTTCGCAGATCTTCTCCCTGGGCTACTGTCCGATGGGCGAGTGGTTGGCAGTAGGCATGGAGAACTCGAACGTGGAAGTTTTACACGCCAACAAGCCCGACAAGTACCAGTTACACCTGCACGAGAGTTGCGTGTTGAGCCTGAGGTTCGCCGCGTGTGGAAAGTGGTTCGTTTCCACCGGAAAGGATAATTTGTTGAACGCCTGGAGGACGCCATATGGTGCTAGCATATTCCAGGTACATATTGTCTTTAAAATAATAATCATCATTTGTGAGGTTTGTAGCGAGGAGCGTTTATCGGGCAAGAGACTGCCCTAACAACTAAACTGATGTTATGCCACTTACAATTATGTAATCGTAAACAACAGTCAGTAAATAGAGTCATAAATAAATCGAACCACAACTTTTGCCACTTCTTAAACTGATAAAACAATTTTATGTATTCTCTGCATGGAAATTGTAATGTGCCGTTAATTTCGCATAGTGTTCAGTATGAGTTGTATACGTTCTATTGTTACAAGCACCGTTTCCAGCTGAAGCATGTCAGTGCTTGTCATAAGCGTACAAGTGGAAGAGATGTTAGTTTCTTCATAAATAGCACTTGTTATATAAATTTTTTTTTTCAGTCGAAAGAATCTTCAAGCGTACTCAGCTGTGACATTTCGGCAGATGACAAGTATATAGTGACCGGTTCCGGAGACAAAAAGGCGACCGTCTACGAGGTCATCTACTAAGGAAGCACGAAGACGGTGGAAACGGACTCCATAAAGCAGTTCGTGTAGTTAAAAAAAATTTAAAGAAATTGTGATAATTATGTGTAATAAACGTTCACTGCGTATCAGAATAAAAAAAAATAAGAGAAGAAACTGTCACCTATTGAGAAATTAGTGATCTGACGTGAGAAATAGGTTTTTAGAAACAGTGATCTCCCATGACATTTATTATCTTTTTTTTTATAATTTAAACCTGTAAATATCTACGTATAACAGTTGAATTGTTGAACTCAAATGTTGGTAAAAAAAACAAACTAAAAATTAACGACGTTCATGAATACTTAATTTTTTTAATTATTTTATAAATTCTCATCTAACTACTTTAGAACCTGTAAATATATCACTTTATGCATTAAGCGCATTGTTTTCCTTGTTTCTTTTTGTTATTTAATATGTAGCAAGCTCGAAATGCAAAAAACAAGAGGTGTAAAACAGGAACACAAATGTATATTGTCTATATATTTGTAATTATTATGCTAGTATCGATAATGAAATTATTTAAATGAAGTATCTAAGTGTTGCCTACACAAACTTGCTCCGATTTTGCATGTGCAAAACTTATAAGTACCTTTGTGTAAATCAATGTTTTTTGGTTCATTGAATATTTAGATAGCGTTTAATACTTCTAAAATTTATGTTATAGATTTGTAGATATCTGGAAGAATTATATTATTGTTTTTATTTTTTAATATTTAATTGCAGACGATTGTTCTTTTGGGGGCGCTGAGCGAGAGAAACGCCGACCGGCCCTAGTTTCCGAAATTAGTCTCAGCGATGAGAGAATGTTATTTTTTAAGAATAAAATTGTAAAATATACAATGGAATGCAACTACTGATTTTTTATTTTTTTTTTACTGACTAATCAGGTTTTTTGTTGTTAAATTTGTAAATTCATGAATTTTAATAAAATATTAATTCGTTAAACAATTTTAATTAATTTTTTTCTTGAATCGGAAACTGAATATTGTAACAGGTGTGTGTAAACAAAGAAGGCAAAAAAAGGGAAAATTCCCAAAAATTCTGTTCTAATCAATGATTTCGCTTATCTTTTCATTCTAAGTTAAAAATATCGATCACCTGTTTAAATCTGACAAAAAGATAAATATCCTCAAAACGAAGTCACTTATCTATGTATAAATCAATACTTTCAGTTGTCTTTCTATTTTAAGCATAAAATTCTGTCATTTGCTTAAATCTATAGCAAAAGTTTAAAATATTTTCAACAAAAATCGCTTGTCTATGATATAATCAATAATTTCGCATATCTTTTCATTTTAAGCATAAAATTCTGTTATTGCTTGAATATATGTCAAAAATATAAATTTACTCAAAAAAATCACACATAAATCAATAAATTCGCTTATCTTGCCACCTTCAGTACGAAATTTTGTCATTCGCTTAAATTTATGGCAAAGAAATTTAATCTCAAAAACCTACAATTTCATTTACTTTTCTACGTTTCTAGCACAAAATTCTGTCATTCATCTAAATATATAGGAAATAATGTAGGTACCAACATCTTACTGACTAAATTTGTTATCAAAATATTTCTAACCTATAGCCAAGCGTTAGGTCCATTTTTGCTTTTCGTTGTCTATCCCACTAATGGAGAAACATACACACACATTTCACTTGACTCCTGTAGTAATTTGCATGGTTTATAAAAAAAACAACATTAAAAAAATAGAAAATGCACTATGCTGTAAAAATATAAAAACATAACCTCAATTAGTTAGATGTTTTTTTGTTTCTAAACTTTGTGAGCTGCAACTAGATCAGATTGGACAAAAAAACTTCTAATGCACACAAAAAGTATATTTATTGCTTACAAAATATCTACATGAGGGATTAGTTATTGAAATATCCAAATAAAGACTCGGTAGTTAACTATAAATGGTTTTTTAATGTACAAGGTGTATTTAAATGAAGGAGCACAAGCGGTACCTAGATCATCTCGAGCCCAAAATATGATAAATGGACCAAATATATTTTGGTCCTTAGTTGCTTCATTTGCAACTTACAGGGTGTTTTTAAAAAACAGATATACAAATATCTCAAAAGATGTTTGACACAGATTAATAAAACTTGGAGATGGCAACTTGGTTAAATAAAGGTAAAAATTCAACGAATTTTGATACATTTATATCGACCAGTGGCGGAGATATTAAGAGACGCTCTTACTAAAAACCTTGGAATTTCAATATTACTGAATATTTTGGAGATTCGAAAAGTTTGTTTGATTCGTAATATTTCAAAAAAAAAAAACATTCTTTGAGTTATTTTTTCAGTCTAAAATAAACTTATCATACAGTTTAATGAATCGAAGATAGTTCTAAAACTTGTCTATGCAATAAAAAATAAGAATTTTTTATTACAAATACAATATAATCAGAAAATTCAGTGGTGTGGCAATCTACTTGTTACTGCCACTTAGAATTTTTTTTTTAGTAATGGTTACATTGTATTCAAATTGTAAATAAAAAATTCCAACAAATGTTTTTGTGAATTTAAGAATTTTAGAGTATTGTTTTTATGCACTGTGTAGAAAGCTTATTTTAAACTAAAATAAATTCTCGTCCTACGAATAAAACTGAGGTTTTTTTGTTCAAAATGCAATAGGAAATCAAATTGAACTTATCGAGTTTACAAAATATTTAGTAGTGTTGAAATTCTTATATGTAAATCCAATAAATTTTTACCTTTATTTGGCTAAATTGCCACCCCAAGTTTCATTAATCTACATCAAACATCTTTCGAGATTTATTCCTATTTGTAATGTGTTTTTTTTTAAATTAAACACCCTGTAACTTGGAAATAAAACAACTACATCCTAAGATTATGTATTTGATCCAATTATATCGTTCTTTTAAATATGTCTCCCATAAATTTCATATACTTTCAAGAGAATTGATTAAAAAAAATTAAAATACAACTTAATTTGTAATTTTTTTTAAACAGTTCAAAAATCCATCAAAACAATAATTACCATTTTAACTCTATTAGTCAATAAAATTATTTGTTTAAATAATTGTTAATATACAACTAAAATTGTATATTTAGGTGTATTAAGTGAGTATTTGAGTTACAAAAATTCCGTACTGCTGCGGAACAATTATCGGAACTGGTTGTCGGTTCAGCGTTTGTCGCCTTTACTGCCACGAAAAAAATGCGGGAATCTGCAAAACATTGTAAAATGACGTGTACAGTCCGGGAAACCTTTTAGATATGACAAAACCGAAGTCTGTACACGTCACCCAAGGGTGTGTTCATTTTATGCGATACAAATTTTTCCTTTACAATAGACCAACAAATGCATACCTCAACACACAATAGCCCGACAAATGTATTTTATCATACAATTGGAAAATAAATTTTATGTTATTTGCAGTTAATTTTTTTTACTACCTATCACCCACTCGGTTATCCTTTAATTGTTACAACTTTCATCAATACAAAAATAAAAGTTTATTAAATAGGTACCTACCTAAATTAAAAATGATTACCTGTTTAATGAAAAATAAAGTAGTCCAATTAAAATGCTTATTATTATGTCAGGAGGTTGTTCCTTTGAGCTTTTAAAATAAACGTGCAATAAACTTACCAGAAAACGGAGATGAGGAGATAAAATTTTTGTACTGAAATCATAATCTTTATGCAGTACTCTTGTAGACATATTCACTTATGTTGTATTAATTGTGTAATTTTATTCTTGAAACACTCTGTAGTTTTAATTTGTTCAGTTTTGTTCCTTCCAGTAGTGGTATTTATTTTATAGATAGGCTAAGGTAACATTGAATTTAATTTTACTAACCACACCACCTGAATACAGTTTATGTAATTTTGAATATATGAATTTATGACTGTGTATAAGAAATCGTTTAAGTAATCAGCAAAATCACATAAATATCACATTGATGATGTCTGATATTCGAATTTAATTTATTCAAAATAATCATTGAAAAATGAAATATTTTGAAATACTAGTTAACCAGTGAACACTAAACTATACTGATTTAACTTCTATGTATATGTTACAACGCTACCAACTGTTAAATATTGTTGAACAGAAATGTTGTCAAAAAAAAAAAAATATTAAAAAATTTCAATAAAAGTGCCAAAAGTGGTTTGCAAACTGCAAATGTATTGAAATTAAAAATGAATGTAGCTACTTACTGATCTAATCAATTATACTGATTCCATTGCGATTATACTGACAGGAACATCGGTGACTGAAAATAATTCTAAAATTTTTCATTTCACAATAAAATACCGAGAGATCCAGAACCAGAATGATTGAAGAGTTTGAGTAATGCAGCCCGTTTCTAACACCATGTTTAGCATATAAAAATCTGTAGTATTGTTATTGACAGAGTCAGGCACAGTCTGCGATCTCCAAAGACTTCAATTATTTTGGATTTCTCTGTACATAATATGCTTTGTTTTAAATCTATCTATAATCAAGCGTTAATTGAAATATTTCAGTCAAGGAATCAAGTATTGATTTTTATATTCAAAAGGTTGTTTAAGCTTACAGATATCTACAGCGTAACAGTTTTCCCTTCAATCCTCTAACACTAGAGGGCCCTACTAAAATCATACTGCAGTCGTTTAAATTAGTCAACGACGAAAGATGGCGCTCTGTGTTAAAGTTAAAAGAAAACAAGTTTTAATTTCCTCATTTACTAACCTATTTAATTAAAAAAAAAACAATTTTTGTTTCGTGTGCCATTTCCTTTCAATTTAATATGTTTATCCACTCCGAGCTACATATTTTATCACAGGCAATAATCATGGGGCAACTACCTAGTGAAATGAGAAGTTTTGAATAAAGTAGCCACACAGTTGTACCTACCCAGGTTACACAAGGTAACATTAAAAACAAGCAACATTACAATTATAAACGAGCCAACCACCGCTTAAGCATGTAAACAAAGCCATTTTGCATAAATTGCTCTGGTCCTGAACAGCCATTTAAGAAACATTTGTTATAACTTACCATGGATCCATACAAACTCCGGTCAGCGAAAAAAGAAAAGGTTTCAGACGAGAATAAACTATACGTTTTAATCTGCTGGCAACTTCTGTGCATGTCGCTCTTTATGTTGAGACAAGGTTGTTTTTTCATAATCAGGGATACAGGAATGTTGCTCTTATACCCACTATGTATATTTTATTATGGTACATTAAACCAACAATTTTCTTCGCCTGTGACTCACAGAAATGCTTTAGCGGCGAAAAAAATTTCTTTGCAGAAATGAAATTGTCAAATGGAAAGGACATGCACGTTTCTTATCTACAGTCTGTGAAATTCAGTGATTAGGGTACATTTGTTTAACATATTGAATCTGTTACTGAAGTTATAAACGATACATTTTCAGTTAGTGGAGATTCTGTAAGAACAAAGAATGCTGCTATTACTCGCAACTCCGCCATTAACAAAATTTAGGATGCAGCTCATTGTATTGTTAAGGATATTATTATTTAGCAATTTCTCAAACTTTTACGACCAGGTCAGCATTCCTTTCATCTTTGCAAAAGCCCTGTAATTATGGGAACCGTTAAAAATATCTACCTCGCTATTCATAGGTGGCATTTTCCATCTTCAAACGACATAAGTCCAAGCCGTTGTACGAAAATTTTTTATACATATTTTTGTAGTTCCACTATCTCAAAACATTTTAATAAAAATCACATTCGTGCTGCTGCTTCATTTAATCACCTAGCCGTATTACTTTCAGTTAATTTTCTAGAGATTTTTAATTGAAGGAGTGTCCTACATTAAATACTTTGTTAAAATGGTTGGTAAATATTATTGTCTTGCAGTTTACTTTAGCCCGGTTGCAAAACTCCTG